ACATATAGAAAAATTAAGGGAAAAATTATAAGAAATAATTATTAAAGAATAATAATAGAATGTAATGCTATACATATACATTTATTTTTAATTTGTACAAAGTAATCTAGTTATACATACACTATAGCAAAAATATGAATACAGTTTTATACAAAATTAAAAATAACATTAACAATTACAAAATTATAAAAATTAAACATACTTTTTCGGTCTTATTTTTATATATCTGGGCACGAGACTAAGAGTGCGTTTGGATTCTATTTTAAAAAAATTTATTTTTATGCCTTATTTATTTTAAAAGTGTTTTTTATAAAAGTTAAAATTATTTAAATTTTTTTAAAAATATTTATTTTTGAAAATTATATAACTTTTGACTTTTACTTTTTTGAGAAGCTAAAATTTTAATTTTTAGCTTTTTTTATGACTTTTTTTTTTTTAAAAGCAGTATCCAAATGCACTTTAAAATAAAAATAAAAAATAAAACCATATGTGTGTAATTAAAAAAACCATAATAACAAGTAGTTGACTTTTTTTTTTTTTAGTATATAGTAGTTGACTTCTTTTTACCGTATATTATTGGTGTTTTGTTGACAAATGCAACTGCTAACGTTGGTGGCTTCACAAGGTCGATCTGTGTTTTCTCCTTAGTTAGTTAATGCTGACATGACTATATATAGCAGATGGTCGACACTGTTCAGTTATTTTATTATTATTATTATTATTTTTTTTAATTCTTGTATATCTGTCCATTTGTGTTCGGTTTTGTAACCCAAAACATACAATATATTCTTCAGTCTTGCCAATTGCAGAATGTGCAGCTGGTTCACTCTGAACAGAAAATTCACCCAATAAGTAATTGAAAGACGACCAATCGAAGAAGTTTAGGTTCTCCTATCCTACCCATTTCCAGCTAATGGGGACCTCGTACACTTACTCAAATAGTTTCTGACATGAGGATACCTGTCCTTGTATCTCTGTACATTTGTGTGGATACCTGTTCCCAATTACAGAATGCCTCGGTTCACTCTAAACAGAAATTGAACTCGATAAATAGTTAAAAGGATGCCAATCCACGAAGTTAGGTAACATACGATACCTTCCCAGCTAGTGGGGACCTCGTGGGTTGAAAATCATAAGCATGGAGGGAATAAATCTTTAATGAAACTGATCCAGCGCATCTCATTTATTTTGTGACACAAATAAAAATTATTACATCATCTGGTCAATTGTAATTTGATTTTTTTACTTCAGATAATGTGATATTTTTTATTCACATGTCACACAAATGCACTGAATTTTTTCAATGCATCCATTGCAATAAAGAATTATTCATTGGGAGAGGTACAGTACCGCTAGAAACAGCTCGAGGGGAACCAAAACAAAGTGTAAAAACAGTACTACTAAGTCCTAATTGCTGCGGTTGATAATTGGTTTTGTGGAACGGGTGCATGCAACTCAGTAATCACGTGATCCATTGTGAAACGTGTGGTAAGATATTTATTTAAAAATTAATTATTCAACCATTTACTCAAAAACGTCTATTCTTAAATATAGTTTCCTACTTGATGATTACATTAATTAAGTCAATTTTAAGGTAGCAATGATAATATGATAGAGCATACTAGCTAATTTGCATAATAAAATATGCTAATATTGCCGACAAAGGTGCGCTGATTAAGGATCACGTTTATATCCCTATTCTATAAAGATGGAAATTCGAATAAGATGAATAATGTGAGAATTTTGTGAATCGTGGATTCTTTAATCGGTTATGAGATTAATTCTGAATCGGGTTTTATATTATTCTCTAATACATCCCTTTACATAAAAATTCTTTGGGCTTAAAACGTGACTGTTACATATGCCTATTTTTTTTTTTTAATTATACTTATTTAATTCTACAAATGAGAGAGAGTGATAATTGAGCTCGTGACTTTGTGGTCAGTAAGGGTGCGTATGACAACCTTATCGGAATCAATTCTTTTTTAATTTCTGTTCCCAGGAACAGAAATGGATAGGAAACTTGTTTGGTAAAATCGGTTTATTTTTTTGTTCCCGGGATGAACCGGTTTAATTTTTGTGCTGGGGAACAAAAAACAGAATCAAAAAATTTCTGCTTTTTTGTTCCCGGGCACAAAATGAGAAACACTTATCCCTCTCAATCACCCTCCACCACCGTACCACTAGTGTCGTTGTCACAACCCCTCACCACCACGATGCCACCACCTCCTCCACCTATCACCACCACAACTTCCACCATCACCACCACCACAACTACCGCCGTCGCCGCCACCACCTCCACCTATCACCACCACAACTTCCACCATCACCACCACCACAACTACTTCCATCGCCACCGCCACCACCACTATCACTGTCACCACCACCATCACCATCACCACTACCGCCATCAACATCGCAACCACTGCCGTCACCGCCACCATCGCCATCACACGCCACTGCCACCACCCCTATCGCCATCACTACCACCACCACGACGCCACCATTACCATCACCACTACGTCACCAACCACCACTACTATTGCCGCAGCCACTATCGTCACCACCACTGTCGTCGCTGTTGCCACCACCACCATCGTCACAACTATTACCGTCACCACCACCACTACCACCATCGCCACCACCACTGTCACCTACCACCACCGTCATCGCCACTGCCACCACCACCATGATGCCTTTACAACCACCACCACCACTACTACCATTGTTGCCGCCACCATACCCATCACCATTGTCGCAATCACTGCCGTTACCACCATCCCCACCACTACCACCTTCGCTGCCACCATTACCACCGCCATCGTCGCATCCACTGCCGTCACAACCACCACCACTATCTTCACCGCGTCACTGCCACCACCACTACCGGACCGCCGTCGCCGTCGCCGCCACCACCACAACCACACCATGTGGAAAGGAAAGTGATGATCCGAAATTTTTTTATATTTAATAGGAATAATTTTTTATTATATTATTTGTTGTGTTATCAAACACAATTCTCATTCTCGGAATAAAAATAGAACATGTTATCAAACACATTTCTTTTCTCAGAAACTGTTCCATGGCACAGAAATAGAAAAGAATTGTTTCTTTTCAGAAACAGTGTTAGGGAATAGAATGATTGTCATGCACACCCTAAAGCTCTGATCATATATAAAGAATCATTTCAACTTAAAATTTTAAAATAATAGATAATTTTTTTTTAATGATTTATATTATTTTCTAGCAATTATCATTAAAGTTTTTTGTCCCGCCCCAAATACCCCTATCTTCATCTATATTTTCTTGTACTAAAAAACCGTGCCAATGCGTGCCTACTGTGACAGTCTACATATATAAGATGGAAACTCCCAGTTAATTATTGTTTTTTGGGAGTAAATAGATAAAACGTCCTGCTTTTGGTTTAATAATTATCGGCGGTTTTTTTTTAAAAAATTTATACATGACGGTTTTTTAATTTTAATTCAGGTTCAAATTAATTGTCAAAAAGGATTGGTGTACCAAAAAAAAATGTCAAATAAAATAAATAAAAGGTAAATTTATTTTTATCAACTGAGGATTATTTTTTGAGTAAATATTTTTTCGGGTCCTCAACAAAAAAACACAAAATTCAATTTAATTCCTTAGAAAAAAAGTATCTATAATAATTTTTTTAAGGACTAATGTGGGTCTTCTTTAAATTTATGAGAGATCATAATTTTAAAGAATTGGAATTTCAAAGGAATCCGATTATTTTTCCTTAAGGATTAAAATAGATTCTATAATTTTTTGTTGAGAACTATAAAAATATTTATGTTATTTTTTCTTAAATGAAATAAACCAAGGCACTCTGATTAAAAAGCTGCAGCTTTAACTTGTGGTCATGCTTGCAACGAATAACAACCCATATGTTGCAACGATATATGATAAATTACGTTGCTGACGTCGGTGTTCTTTACACAGCTATGCGTTGTTAACATTTATTTCCTCACGAAATTCATGCCACGGCCAAGACAAGGAGTATACGTACGTGCTCAACGGATAAGATACAAAAACTGTTGATCTTACCAAAGAAAAAGACAAGAGAGATCCAAGGGTTCAGTTTGAGTAGCTCAGGGAAGGATTCAAATCTGTTGTATTAATTCAGGACCTATATGATGGATGCGACAACTAACATGGTAGCCTCTAACACTTTAAAAACCTATAATTTAATTTCGAAAGTTACAATTCTTAACTACGTTGCTTGTGTAAGAGATTTAATGGTGCAGAATAATAGAGAAGATAAATGGGCTTTTATTATAAGAAATTTTTTCTTCAAAAATACAATTTCATCAAGAACACACTACTATTTCTTTTCTCAAATATTTTCCTCTCAAATGAGTACTTCGGTATTCCTTTTCCCATATTTTCCCCTATTTTTAGAGGGAAACACAAATTTTTCTATTTTATTTTAAATGTGAGTTGCATCCACCCATGACGTCTAGTTTGGTGGTGCATGCTTTCGCATTTTATTTTTATAGATTTTTTAATTTTAGTTTTTCTCCTTTTTTAGATTTTTGGAGTTTGTTTTCTAACAGCTTGGACTTGTTTTTTTTTTCATCCAAAAAAACTGCAAAAGTCTATATATATATATATATAATCAATAGGAAAAACATCTATCCTTTTAAAGGATATAAGTTTATATCCTTTTAGATCATAACCGTTGATTTCCGTCCATCAACGGTTATAATCTATTGGGCCAAATTTATTATTAATTAATTAATAATTTTAATCCAATAAATTATAATCGTTGATGGACGAAAATCAACGGTTAGGATCTAAAAGGATATAAGTTTATATCCTTTAAAATGATAGATGTTATTCCCATAATCAATTAGTTAGCCGTCTAATCCAGCTATTCTTGCTTGTGTAATTAATGACTAAAAAGGAAGTAATTTTGTGTGTGTATATAAAGAGATGATAAGCCCCTTATTTCCTAGACTCACTGGAGTTTACTCTTGAAGAAACACTTGTTGGAACTTCTTAACGTACAGCATTAGTATGGCTCTGTTAATGAAGCACCCCAGTTTTTCTTCAACTAGCTTAATGCTTTGTTTCATATTGTTATTAGTTTTATCCTACAAAGCAAAGGCTGTGGTGAAACTACCACCAAATTTTTCAATTCCTGCAGTCATAGCTTTCGGAGATTCGATAGTGGACACGGGCAACAATAACAAGATTAAAACACTTGTTAAGAGCAATTTCCCTCCTTACGGTAAAGATTTTGAGGGAGGAATCCCAACCGGTCGATTTTGTGACGGAAAAATTCCATCGGATCTTTTAGGTACTACTCTCTCTTCTCTTTGGTGTTTGTTATCTTTGCATTTCTGAAAGCCTTGTGATCAGTCTGCGGTCTATGCTTAATTGCAAAGTTTCTTCGTGTCATTGTTTTTACTATATATATCTATATATATGCATGGCAACAAGCGAACGCAAGCTATACACCTTTTATTTTCACCTCCTTTAATTGATCGAACACTCTAAATTCAAAGCAAGCTTTAGCTTTATTGTCAAATTAATTTGATCATGAAGAATGCGATTTTTTTTTTTTTTTTGTATACAACCTATTGCTTCTCTTTATGCGAATTTCTTTTATCTCATTACAGGGTCTTAATTTGTATTGCCTTCCTTTTGTCCCTTTCACATGCGTGAGACATTATATTATATGTATAAATTATAATATTTAAATTTTATATATAAGATAGGTTATTCTACCTACTATTTTTGCTGTCTATCTTTGTCTACCACTCTTTAATGTCGTTAGATCAGAATTTTAACTAACATTTATTTCTCTATCTCTTCTTGAGATTCTGATCTAACGGTATTGAAGAGTGATAGGCAGAAAAAATAGTAGGTAGAATAACTTATCCCTTTTATATATATATATATATATATATATATATATATATATATATATATATATATATATATATATATACTTTTTTCTCGAATATATTTTTGTTGTCAAGAGAGCAAGGTGACAGTTGAACATCACTGTTGAATGTTTTTAGTATTGATGATATCTATACTATTGTTTAGAAATTTTAACCAATAATTACATTTTTCTAATCAAGAAAAACTCACTGAAGGAGCATCGATCATGACCTTGATGTTACAAACAAGCCTAGAAATGGATAATTTAAATTCCATTGCAGACTAATGTTAAGGTTAATCAAAATAAATTAATTTTCATAAAATGTCTAGAACCCATTAACCTTTAACCTCTCTCAAAGAATATTTTCTGACTCCACACCTTCTGTGATATTGCGATAATTAGTTGCGAGGAATTCTGGATTGGGGATGGTACTACATGGAAGAAAATATTGGAGTTAGGTAAGGCATGAGGTAGCTATTTTAAGAGGACGGTTCCCCAATTTAAAATGAAAACGATGGCTTCATTGCAAGTATTTATGGAGCCTCATTAGAAATTGAAGCTCGCATATTTCTTAGAAAAAATTGAGTGTCGCTAATAGCATGATACCTGAAGGAACCTATAACAAAATAAAGTCTCTCTTGGTATTCATCATAAACGACATCGAAAATCGATGAATCTCAAAGGGAATTAATTAATCAATTAAAAAACAAATTACATAAATTCATTTGATCTTGGGTCATATGTTACGTCATTTTATAAGGAAACATGAGCATACACAAAGGTCATGAACAATACAACATAATAAAATAAAACATGTTAAGTTGGATCTACAAGTATTACTTCAAAGTATCCGTGTCTCTAAGAAAATATATGATTATCTGTAATAATATAATTAACAGTCGTTCACTATATTTGAAATTTTAATTTTAGAATTTAACATAATTTATTTGAAATAAAATAATTCACAAAACATAAAAATTCTCTGTTTTTATAAATTCTAAAACACGATAATTTATAAATGAAAGTGATTTTCTGACGATATTACTTCTTATTTAAAGATGAAAATATAACATTAAAAAATACTTTCCCTATATACAGGGCGGATGGAATGGGGACAAGAAACAACTTAATTTGGTCCCCCACTCATGAATTTATCATCTATTATCGGTAGTACTATTTTTATGAAAAAAACAATATACTCACTTTAGAAAATATATGATACGTTTAATATTTAAATCAATAATTTTTCATTCAAATATCTAAATATTTAATAATTTTGATCCCTTAATAATAGATGCCTAAATCCGTCCTTCACAATATATGATATTTTGAATTCATTTAGCATTATTATCGGCTTTTCATTAATTTCCAAGATCATTTTTGTTCCTGTTGAGATTAATTACTTCATTGAATTTCAGTTGAAGAGTTGGGTATTAAGGAGCTTTTACCAGCTTATAAGGATCCAAATCTAAAACCAAGTGACCTTATTACGGGAGTCTGCTTTGCTTCTGGTGCCTCTGGATACGATCCTTTGACGCCAAAAATAGCGGTGCGTATAAATATTTTTGAGCTCTAGTTTTCACTAGTAAAATTTGTGGGGTGGACAAGAACAAATTATATCAATATTGTTATTCACATTGTTTTCTAACTCGATAATTGTATAATTATAAATCAGTCAGTGATATCATTGTCCGATCAACTAGACATGTTCAAAGAATACATAGGGAAGCTTAAAAGCATTGTTGGAGAGGACAGAACAAACTACATCATAGCCAACAGTCTTTTCGTTGTGGTAGGTGGAAGTGACGATATTGCCAACACCTATTTTATTGCTCGTGTTAGACAACTACAGTATGATATTCCTGCTTACACTGACCTTTTGGTCAACTCAGCCTCTGATTTCATTAAGGTACTAAAGTCTTTTTTTTTTTTAATTATATTTATAAATTTTTATTTACGAACTTTTATAAATTACATTATCTTTTACTATTTTTTTTTCGATAAAATGTGAAGGAATTATATCAACTTGGAGCACGCAGAATCGGAGTACTCAGTGCACCACCGATTGGGTGCGTGCCATCACAGAGAACTCTGGCTGGAGGCAAACAAAGAGACTGCGCAGAAAAATACAATGAAGCAGCGATTTTATTTAACTCCAAACTATCAAAGGAAATGGATTCCCTTAACAATAACTCGCCAAATAGTAGGATCGTTTACATTGACGTTTACAACCCCCTACTTGACATCATTGTGAACTACCAAAAATATGGTAATTCCCATCCCAAGTCTTATTTATTTTTCTAATAATTTAGTTAAAATTCTTTTAAATATTAAGTTCCTTGGTCAATTTGCAGGCTTTAAAGTTGTGGACAGAGGTTGCTGTGGCACAGGCCTAATAGAAGTTGCAGTTTTATGCAATCCTTTGGGTGCCACTTGTCCTGATGCTTCGGAATATGTTTTTTGGGATAGTTATCATCCTACCGAAGCAACATACAGACAGCTCATAGACCAAGTCCTTAAAAAATATTTGAATCGATTCCTCTGAATTTTGAAGTTTGCCCTCGGCATGTTAATTAATCAATTATGACATATCATTCAAGAAGATCAATGTTTGATTGAGTTTATGATGTTGTGAGCGTGATTGTTAAGTAGTATATGTATCAATAATTAATATTGATTGAAGAAGATGAACATGTTAGATCGAAATATCAAGTTGCTGCTGTAATTGTTAAGGATTATATATATCAAGAATTAATATTCATGTATTTTTTTTTAAAAATAAAATAATATTCATGGGTCTCCCACTCATTGATTCTTATTTTCCCATTTTTTCTACTGGTTGAAAAATAAATCTTAGTGTAGCACTAAACTGAGACAGATCAGCTAGGATCTTAATTCTCGGGACCGAGACTAAGGAATAAATGATTAAGGGAAAGAAAATCTATAACTATCATATTAACTATTAAGTAAGGGTTAAATGAGTCTATAGCGACATGAGAAAGAAACCTACTGACCAATCGATATTTGTGTTATTGTTTATAGAGAAAGATTTATTTACAAATTTTGATAAATTACACTATCTTCTTTCGGAGAACATAGTGAAACTTAGTGTTTTACTGAAAAAAAATAATATAGTTTGTATACAAAAAAGTTTGTAAATATAACATGCCCCTTTTTTTTATATATATATATATATATGCACTCTACATAGGTCATTGTCTCTATAACATAACATAATGATTCTCCACAATAGGAGAGTTATTTAACCCATTACGTAAACACATAGGAAATTGTGTTATGTTTGAGAGACCATCAACTAGTGAGATTCAGATACTGTGATATTAAATATGAGTAACTAAGGTGGGCAAGAAATAAAAATAAGGGGAATAACATATATATATATATATATATATATATATATATATATATATATATTTATTTATTGGGAATTAATATTAATTAGTAAGTTCGATTCTCAATAAATTATAACCGTTAATTGAAGAAAATCAAATGTTAGGATTTTGTGACAAATTTCAAAATTTGACATCGGTATCAAAGGATCCTATATATATATATATATATATATATATATATATATATATATATAGGTGGGATCCTTTGACACTAGTGTCAAATTTGAAATTTGACACCTTATCTGAGAGCCGTTAGATCAACCGTTAGATCAAAAAAGATCACTGATGTCACATGCTTACAAATCAGAGTTATTGATCTTTTTTTATCTAACGGCTTTCAGATGAGGTGTCAAGTGATCATACCTCATATATATATATATATATATATATATATATATATATATATATATATATATATATATATATATATATATATATGGGGCAGGATATTCTTACATCAATGTAAGAGTTAGAAATCTTACACTCAATCTTGAGCATTGATCCACTTGTATCTAATAAATCACATTACTAAAAAATTATAACCCTTAGATATAAGTAGGATCTATGGTCAAGATTGAGAGTGTAACTTACACCGGTGTAAAATGATCCTGACCCTATATATATAGAGAGAGATATGATTCATTTACAAACTTTTTTTGCAAATTAGACTAAGTACGACCGGTCGTACACTGCATGATTAAAGTATGTCTGGTTTATAAGAGTTTGTAAACAAAAAAGTTTGTAAAAATAACCTGCCCCATATATATATATATATATATATATATATATATATATATATATAGGTAAAATAATTTCTGCAGCCGCTTTATGTACAGCAACGACAGATGTATGGTTATGATTTCTCCCATTTAATGCTTTTATCTTTTGTATGGTTATGATTCTCTGTATTTAATGCTTTCAAGTATATATATGGCAAGTATTTGATTGCTCTATGTACAACAGCTATAGAAATGTAATCTCCATATATATATATATATATATATATATATATATATATATATATATATATATATATATATAATCTATTATTCTAAAGGAATTCCATTTGTTGAAAATTTTTGCCATGTGTCACTCCCTCCTTGCATCTCAGATTTGTTGTGTTCACATCATACCCACTTAAAAACTTTCCTCCTTTGGCAAATTCGAATTATTAAATATTTTAAAATACGAAAAAAAAAGTTGAATTGAGTTTTGATTCAATTGAGTTGTGGTGGCAGACACCTCATTCAATTTCCAACTGTCCCAGTCCTTATTCAATGTCTCACTTAGCTGTTTCATTTAACGATGATTTCTACATTGGAATTGAGAGGCTATTTTAAAATTTGAAATTCAAACTGATCATGATTTTTTTTTCTTTTTTGTAATTAACTGATCATGATTTCTACATTGGAATGATCAGCTCTTTTAAAATTCAAAATATGATTTCGATTTAAATTTTGAAATATTTCGATTTCATTTTTGAAATTCAAATTGTAATGGTGGAACAAAAATTTAAGGTGTTTAGGTGGCAGATAGCTCTCGTTTAATCTCTGACTACTTTTCTTTTGTTGCTTGGGTCTATAAGAAGGAACGTGGGAATAGACATTTTGTTCTTCCCTCCGGTATTCCATTTTTGCTGATTGTTTCTTTTAGAGGAATCAGTTCTTTCTTTTCTTCCTTTTTTGTTCTCCTCTACGAAATGTTTTCAACCTATGATTTTATAAAGGATCTTAATCTTACCAAGGAGGACTAGAGGATTAAGGTTAAGGTGGTTCGATCTTGGAAGGTTCCTAATTTTCAACGTAAGGATTTTGACGACAATGTTGAGATGGTTCTGTTGGATGAACGGGTAGTGCTGGTTGTTCTTCCTTTGTTCTTTATAATCTATTGTCACTTCGTCTCTGTTGTCGTAGCATGTTTCCGTCTCTGTGTCTGTTGTTATGATTTTTCGTTTTCGTTGTTTCAATTTTGGCTTTCACTTTTTTTGTAGGGTGGAAGGATCCATGCTACTGTCAAATGATCTTTGCAGGTCCGAAAAAAATTCTGTGACGGAGAGGTGTATTTTATAGGTCCAGACTCTACAATGTAATGGATGCACTGTTATGAATGACTGATATACTGTATTAAGCTCTAAAATGTTTCTACATCTTTTTTTTTAATTCATTTATGTTATTGACTGTAATGTGAACTGTACATATTACATAAGAGCTGTTTGATGAGGATCTAATCTCGGTGAATATAACCTTCTAACTGCTTCTTCTTCTTTGGGTGCTGTTATACAGACATATGATGCATCTTCAAATGTAACTGAGAATATAAACTAACAGCAGTGCTCTCGCTCATCTTTTGTCTATTTTATCAGGATGTTGGCTTTTGGCTGAGAGACTATAAATCTTGGTAATTACCGGCAAATTTTTAAAGAAAATGGTGTTAATGGAGAATACCTAGAAGGAATGTCTATGTTCACGACTGAACAGATCCTTCGATTCATTAGACGTTGCCACATGAAGTGGGGAGACTTTATCACATTGTGCAAGGAATTAAGCCGCATTAAAGGTTTCTCTCTCTCTCTCTCCCTTAAGCAGTAAATAGATAATGACATGCCAATAAACTCTCATTTGATTTTATTTTTTTTACTAATCTGTTGTGATTTTAAATTTCTGTGTCTGTTGTTATGATTTTTGTTTTCGTTGTTTGAATTTTGGCTTTCACTTTTTTAATGAGTTGATCTGTATTTTTTTTAATTTTATGGCTTTAATCGGGAGGCATATGGTTTAAATTCCGAATCTGTTTTCCTGCAGCATAGGGCTTTGAATGTAATCGTCTGTCATGCAAATTTGGTGATCTACCTGGATTCTTAATTCTTTGATTTGTCTTTCCGTTTCTATCAATCTTTATCCTTTCTAATTGTTTACTTTTCTCAAGTTACTTCTCTATTCTGTTGTAATGGTGGGAAAGGATTTGGAAATAAAAAATTAAATAAATAATAGTTTCTTTTAAAAATTGAAATAAAAAATAAATGGAAAATACAGTTAATCATTTATGGTGGCAGACAACTCATTCAATGTCCCACTGATTTGTACATTGGAATTACTCAGCTCTTTTAAATGCTTTCTACATTGGAATTGCTCAATCTTTTGAAATTCGAATTCTGAATTGATTTCAAATTTTGGATTTCAATTTTAAATTTCAAATTGTAATGGTGGGAAAGGATTTGAAAATAAAAAATTAAATAAATAATAATTTCTTTTAAAAATCGAAATAAAAAATCAATGGAAAATTAAGTTAATCATTTATGGTGGCAGACAACTCATTCAATGTCCGATTGATTTGTACATTAGAATTACTCAGCTCTTTTAAATGCTTTCTACATTGGAATTGCTCACTCTTTTGAAATTCGAATTCTGAATTGATTTCAAATTTTGGATTTCAATTTTAAATTTCATATTGGAATGATCGGGAAAGGATTTGGAAATAAAAAATTAAATAAATAATAATTTCTTTTAAAAGTCACAATAAAAAATCAATGGAAAATCAAGTTAATCATTTATTGTGGCAGACAACTCATTTAAAAAAAATATTGTAAAATAACCAAATTAATTATATTGTAAAATAAATTCAAAATTTGGAAATAAATTAAATGAAAAATTATGTTAACAATTTTTGGTGGCAGAAAGCTCATTAAATGTCCCACTGCAAACTACATTGGAATTTTCAAATTAATAATAACTCAACCTTTCTAAATTTTGAATTTATGTTTAAATTTAAATTTTGGATTTGAATTTTTAACTTTGTAATGATGGAAAAACTTTTAGAAAAAATTTTGTAACAGACAACTCATTTAATGTCCCACTACTTTTCTTTTGTTGTATATCTTACTATTTTTTTCATGGATAATTGTTAGCCTTATTAATGCTGCATAAAAAAAACAAAACATTAAAAAAATTGTAAAATAATAAAATTATTGATATTGTAAAATAAATTCGAAATTTGGAAATAAATTAAATGAAAAATTATGTGAACTTGATATATGACAAAAGAATCCAGCATTTAATATTTATGCAGTGAAAAAAAGATATATATAATAAATTTGAATTTAATATAAAATTATAGATTAAACAATAAAATATATAAAATTATAAAAATACATTTATAGTCGATAAAATTATTTAAAATTTCAAATATAAAAGAAAAAAATAAGAAATGGCATAATTTATACTTTTCAAAAAATAAATTAAAATTTTAACATAAAAATTTTAAATATACATGTATAACCAATTAAAATAATATACATGTATGTTTTAAAAAATACTTAACATAAAAATTTTAAATATACATGTATAA